CTGGCGACTTTGTAGTACAACTTTAGTACGCGGAGTAGCTGGGGAGCTGGAAGCTGAGAACTGGCGACTTTCTAGTACAACTTTGGTACGCGGAGCAATCTGTGGAGCTGGAAGCTGAGAACTGGCGACTGCGTAGTACAACTTTAATACGCGGAGTAGCTGAGGAGCTGGAAGCTCAGAACTGGCGATGTGGTAGTACAACTGTAGTACGTGGAGTAGCTGGGGAGCTGGAAGCTGAGAACTGGCGACGTGGTAGTACAACTGTAGTACGTGGAGTAGCTGGGGAGCTGGAAGCTGAGAACTGGCGACGTTGTAGTACAACTTTAGTACGCGGAGTAGCTGCGGAGCTGGAAGATGAGAACTGGCGACTTGGTAGTACACCTTGAATACGAGGAGTAGCTGGGGAGCGGGAAGATGAGAACTGGCGACTTGGTAGTACAACTTTAGTACATTATGCCCCATATTGCGGACGTGCGACAACCGCTGGTGTTGTTGGCTAATTGTGGCTGCGCGCACCTGTGTGCACAATACCTCGTACATCCGTCGTGCACATCACTCTCTTACACCTTCTCTCCCACCCCTCTGTTGTCGGAAGCGGATATTACTTCCTGACAAGGCCGTGTTGTGGAAGCTATTGAGACTCTGACTCTGACTGCTTTGTGCTTTAGAATCAACTTTAGAACCTTAAGATTCGCAAAGATTCATATGTGGGGTTATCCGGTCCTTTAATTGTTGTAGTTCCCCGGACACGTCCAACACACTTTATTTGCAAGTCAGAACAGAAACAGACACCTCAGGAGGAAAGGAAAAGGAAAAGATCTGATCCTTTTTATGCAAGTATGTTTCAATTGTGTGCTGGCGTAGAAATCAGGAGTTGCGAGGTTTCAATGAGAAAGTTTGGGAATAAGGATACCGCATGAAAGATCGCGCGGTTTTGTATGGTAATAGATGTTGCTGCTTCCAGTGGCAAGGTTTCTATTTTGTTTGTGTGCGTTGGTAATTTTGATTCTAAGGCGGCTTAATCAGCACCCAAATTAATGAAGTTACCATTCAGATCGTGAGCACCAACTCAGCACCGCTGATTAACAAGCGTTAGATTGCCAAGAATCGAATCACCAATGTTTCACAAAAACTCTGTGCGCAACTTGTTGGCCTTGTTTTGCACGTGATTAAACCTAAGTCTTGATTAGCCTGCGCCCACAAAACTCACTCAACATCGAACGAAAACAACAAAGAGATTACGCGGCCATCGAACTAGCGCAATCCCGATTGGGGCGAATGACAGGTAAGTTAAGTTTACGAATTAAACATTGAATCCAATCACGAATATACCTAAGAACAGATGCCACGATTTGCGCCGATTCTACACCCCTATCATTGGACCACCAGGCTATTTGGACATGGCCTCGAAAAGGCAGTAAGCCAAAAGAGCTCTTGGGGACGTATCTATTTGCAAGAGTTTCTACCCAAAGATCAAGAGACCAAAACCAAAAGAAGCTCTCAAGTTGTGTATGCATGGTGGTGGTGAGGCGCAGGACAAAGCTAGGAAGTTCAAAGAAACCCACCGCCCAGTTCGCTAGGCGCCTGACCACCTCTTGGTGTGAATGCGGGAGACTATAATGGTTTGCGCCAAGCCAGGATTTATGTCTAAGGAACTTGATGACGAACCAATCAATAGTTTTGACATCGAACTATCATGACTCTGACAATAAGATCATCCGGCTTCAAATTGTCCACCTGGAAAGTCGTCAGATGCGTCTCATCACCGTCAATCCAGGCCTGAACCACGGCAAATGGGGGAAAGCACACTTGAGCATCAGCAAGACCAATAACCAATCCTCTCCTCGGCGGCTTCCTGCATAGTGATCATATTAAGCCCTGAAACGCTCTCATCAGCAACAACGTCAATCTGATTAATGTTTTCCTCATCAAGAAGCAAGTCAGCATGCGCCTGACGCAGTGTTTCACATGTGGGCACAAACACATGCAACGATCATATTGAATCTTGATCTGCATCAATCCCCGCACTCCCTTGATCCACGCAGTGATTCCACGGATTTTTGGATGAAGCAAGTGAGGCAATCCATCAAAATGCATTGAAACCTCCGGATCACCATGGACTGCCATAAAGAAAGCCTAATGATTGCAGCCCCGAAGGATCTCCGTGATGACCATAGCCTCACGACGAAGCTGAGTGGCCGCATCCAGTACGCAGCCTTTATGTACCAGCACGAGCCTTTCTTTAAGGCAAAGCAAGAACGCTCCAGTCGGCAAGACACGGGAATGAAAGCTGTGGACATAGCAATGTTGTGCATCCACAGTGTGGGAAGAAGAGAGCAATAATTACAGAAGAAGCACAGGAAGAACATGGAAGAACTATATAAACTTAAATGAGAGAAGGTGCGGGCCTTCCGTTGCACAATGACACAGGCCCCATTTCGGCCAGCTCTTACGTGAACTTTCGCTCTTTTAATTGGGTTTGGTGTGTTCGGTGAGCTGTGTTTGATTGTTGCTGCTTTGTGTGTTACTGTGTCTTGATTGGGTGGTATAGGCGAATTGATTGTTTGAACGTCTATTAATGTTGGAGCGGTGCTGTTTTTGCGGCGTTGGACTTGTTTGTTCAGGAGTTCTGCGCTAAAATGTTTTGTGTGTTGCTTGGGCTGAACTTCTGTGGACTTCGTGAGTTTGAAATTAATTGGAAAACTTGAGTGAATT